ACATGATCCGTTAACGAAGACTGCCATATCTTGTTCATCTTTTTAAGGCAAATATGTTAGGAGAAATCGCGCTGACTGTAAATCTTCTATCCACCATTCATTTTTATGTTCAAAGAGGATAAATAATTTAGTTCGTAATGAAGTCTATACTCTGAAAAAACGCAGGACGACCAAATGAATACGAATCAGCGAATGGAGGTCAGGAAGGAACTGTGTGATAGAGTTGTTCTGCCGGTCATAATTAACGGTACGTTATGAAAGCCGGCGAGAACAGACTGATGGTCCCGCAAAGAATGACAGAACTTAGAGCGAAGAATGTGCAGGGTCTTCCTGTGAATTCATACTTGGATAGCCGACTGAAATTATTCAAGTTCCACAAAGCCAATTGAAAATAGGCCAACGATATGACTCGCCTGAAGGATAACCGATAGGCAACAAGAATTACGAATTTTACCTGTACGGACTTTGCGCGTCTCTTCGCTCGTCCTAAAACACGCTGAGGGTTACCCGATGGATAAATTACTTTCCCAGTGGTGAACGTAAGGAGCTTAGAGCGGGAAAAGTAAACGAAGGGTGAACGTCTGTCTGAATGCAGCCAGTAAAGACAACTTTGGTAAGTATTGATTTTCAACCGATTACCTACTACCGAAAGGAAAGCTGGATATGAGCTAACATAGGAACATCGGCAAACTCATGATATTTTCCGTGTACTCGGAAAACCTCTGGAGAAATGATCCTCACAGGCATAATGATCATGATATAACGTAAAGCTAATCAATCAATTACGTCTACTTACTGGTGGTAGATGCGAGATAAGTTATATCGTATCCGTCGAAGGCTACCGACGGGTCGGTATGAAAGGTCAGCCTCAGGCGATTGCTTCGAGAATGATAGGTAGGAGGCAATGTCCAGCTGCAATATGTCACGGGTTCCCTGTCGTGTTCTTCTATCTGAGAACGTACGTGAATGGTTGAAAACGTGCCGAATCGACAGAGAAAAAGCTTCAGCTACCTTCAGAAAATCGGCCGTGCAACTGCCCCC